CCACACTGATTGTATTTATTTGAGGGAGAGAGAGAGAGCTCTGAGAGTGAGAGCGTTGAGATAGGGTGAGAGGAGCCCTAGGAATTGGCCTCCCCCAATTGTGAGGGTAAAAGGTCCTTTTATAAAATAAGGACTCCTCACTTATTACATATTTGCCCCTTCCTTTATTACATAATTACATTTAAGTCCCCCGAGTATTTATACGAGGTCTAAATACGAGGCCCTAAATATGGTATAAACAGCGTTCATGTGTGATAAGGATGTGGATATTTTGAATTAAACATGGTTTTATTTGGCTGGATAATTGCATGATAACCTCATGCAATTATATTGGTTTTGATCCTGTCAAACATGGATGATTTTTCGTGGACATTTTAAATAGGTACTCATCCAATTTAAGATGAGGGCTGATGGAAGATTAATCTGCGCATGCAAACCACATCAAAGATCAAATATAATCCTTTGAAGATCAAGCCACGTCAAACACATGGGAGATTGAAATTGGACTCTACTCAAGGATCAAGCCACGTCAAGCATGCATGTCTCTATAAATAGGAGTGGTTGTGCAACAACAAAAGGACCTCCAACTCAACACACAAACTGCCATGCTCAAATCCTCGCTTTACGCGAAACCTCTCAAACATCTTGAGATTTTTTATTTTATTTTTCGCCAACACATCTTCAGTTTGGATAAATAGCACTGTGAAGGCAACCGGCGAACATCTTCAGTTTAGATAAACAGCACTGTTGCCGTAGAATCAGCCGACCGTGAAGCACCTTCAGTTTGGATAAACAGCACTGAGACGGGGCCGACTGGTTATCTATCCAAGTCTTGGTCGAGAATGATTTTCAAATCCTTATTGGCAGATGTCATCTCGTTAGCCTTCTCGGCAAAAAGATGTGTTACAAGTTACTACATTCGGCACATTAAAAGCCGAATTTGATATTGAATTTCGCAGAACTAGCAGCCTTGTATTCAGGCTCTAGAACCCGAAGGTCAAGACGTGTTCCTTCCTCGGCTGCAGTCGCACGATCGAGAAGTCAGACGCGCATCCAACGCAACATCAACAAATTTAACTCTTCAACCGAGCTCGGCCAACGAGTTGGCACGCCCCGCATACAACCGAATGACGTAGTTAGCTTACTAATTACTCGGCCTGCGCGCCACGTAGGCTTGGTAGTTTTTAGGGTCAACAGGAAGATATTCCTTTTTTTTTTTAATTTTTTTTTTATAAAAATGAGAATTAGTTGTGGGGTTCACACAACATTGAACTTTAACGATCCGAACCGTTTATTTTTCAAGTTGTACCTCATAGACCATCATTCAAAAATATTAGCCAAATCGGTAATATTTAAGACATCTAATTGGGCTTAAAAAAATAAACGAATACTTTGTTATATAAGAAACAATGAAATTTGATCTTGATAATTAAATAGGCAAATGGTTTCGAATTGAATTGAATTTTTCCGAGGATGATCTATGAAACAAAATAGACAGTTCAGATCGTTAAAATTCAATGTGGAGTGGGCCCCATAACTAATCCTCATTTAAAAAAATAAATAAATCTTTTTGCATAAAGGGCCTGATATATATAACTATTTTACCTACCTCTCAATGTTTATGTGACACTCGCTTTTACATGGTTAAGCTCATATGGAATTTTTGAGAACTCATATGAATTTAAATTTTTTCGAGTTGTGTGCGATTCTAATAGCACTTTGTGTTACATATAATTCGCCCTATTTCTCATGTCAATGTTCATTCCGACACAATGCAACATACGAAATTCAGTAGTCACTTATGTTGTGTGATAAAGATGCAGAGAATAAAAATGGTAAATTGACACTAATGATTTTGAGAAAGGTATACCTTACTTCATTGCCACCAAGATTAACCGGAGATATTAGATCATAAGCGTAACTGGTCTTCATCTTAGGGTACAATGGACCAGTTAGAACATATATTGGAACAGCTTCTATTGAAGATACAAAGGGAACCATTCCCTTCTCAAACTGCACAACACACACATTTAGTGATCCTGACCCTTGATTCACATACATGGCTTCATGGTACAATGGCCCTTCCGCCATTGATGCTTTGACCGTTGACCACTTTCGGCCGTTGATACAAAGATCAAACGGCGGAGGGCGGGAGAGACCATCATAGTCTCCGTAGTAGAAGCCCGCCCTGATCAAGTACCGCTGAGTAGGTGCATTGTAAGGCAAAACATAACAATTTTGCTGGTTTTGGTTAGGGAATGATCGGAGGGTGTTCATTGCTTCAAGTGGTTGCTTTTGTGGAACTTGCTTGTTGATGCCTGCCTTGGTGTAGTCATTGTCTGTGACCCATTAGAGTAAGTTTTATCCCAACGTGTAGCATTGCTACCGCAGTCAATGTTCAGCCATCTGATTGTAACTGCGATTTAAAAAGCAATAATCAAGAGCAAGTTTGATGTACGCGGTCAATCACAATCTAAACTATCGATCAGGTGACTTTGTACTCGAATGAATATATATGAACAAGAATTGAGAGTTTAGTAACATAACGACATGACGGAGGAAATAAAAATTATGCGTTGCAAGTTAGACGTACTATGAGACGAAGCGCGGAATAAATGGAAGGCTAGAAGAAGCGCCGGTACCCATAAATTTGTATTCATAGAGAGTGGCTTGAGTTTTAGAATTGAGAATGAATTTCAGTGAGGGATGTTTGGTTTATGAGGTTAGATTTGATTTAGTTATGTGACTTATGTCAATGAAAATACCCTCCCCTGGATATCTCCACCGCAGAGACTAATATTATAACATATATATACACACACACACACTGCTGTGACAAATATATACATACATGTCGCAGTGGCACTATTTCTTGAATTTATCTCTGTTTCGTTAAGAAATATCGAAACCAACATTGCAAACTTCAAACTTTTGATCTAAATATAATTATTTAATAATTACCAATGGGTTTCCATAGAAATTTAGTAAAAACAAGACTAGCTAGTGGCTTAACCACAACAATTCCATTCTTCTGGGGGTCGGAAAGACTCATGAGGACATTTTAGACTCTCTTGGCAACCATCTTGTGATCGAACCTAGAATGTATCGTATATAAAATGGGCCGATAATTCGTTAAACCTACAAAAAAAAAAGTCAAAGACATGTGATATGTATTTTTACCACCTACAAAAGTAAGGATAAAAACACTTTAAATACTTGCAAGAGTACAAGGTAATTGTAGTATAATCGGCTCTAGCAAGGTCGTTCTCTTCAGGGATTGAATGAATAATTTGTATCTAATCAAATCTTAATTAATTACTTAAAACAAAGTTTTGGAAAAAGGTGATTTTGTGATTTCAAATAATAAAAACAAATTTAATAGAAATAAAGTGACAAAATAAAATAAACTAAAAGAAAACAAGTTTTGAAAATTAAATTGTAAAAACCTAGGGTTCCGCCGTCACCTTACAATCTTATGTAATTCTTTCAATTACTTATGAATTACAAATGCATATTTTGAAGCCTAGGTTTTCCTAATATATGCCTACTTGGACCCCCAACATAGAGCGTATATCAAACATGCAACCCGTCTGTGTTATTCAAATCAAATCTAAACATGCATGACTTATTAAGCTTTGTGAAACCTTTTAAAAAACCATACAACCCTTAAGACATGGTATTCATCCTAAGTGAACTTGCACATATTAATCACAAGAAGCATTCGTCAATTTCAGGGACTGACCTCTGACCAAAATTGCATCAAATTATTTTTCTAAAGATCTTAATGGTAGCTAAGCATTAAGACAAATAGATAGTTTAAACCAGTGATTAATAATTCAAACGTGCATGCATAATATCATAACCAAATTGAAAAGAAACTACATATTCTTGCTAAGGTTCGTAGCATCACCCTAGCAAACGGAATTTAGTTACAAGCAATCATACAACGAAATATTATTAAATATAAGGATAGAAAACACCTTCAAAATAAACTTGAATCCAAAAGCTTTCTAAAGTGTGCATGCATTTTTTTCCTATCCCCCTATCTTCTCTAAAAAAAACCATAATGGCTAAAAAGCCTTATTTATACTACTAGAAAATAAAACCCTACCTAGAAAAAGTCTTAGAATAAAACTAGGAAACCAAATAAATTAGGAAACAAAATCCGACTAATAAAATTCACCCAAAATCTGCGTAGTCTCAAAATAGCCACGTTTCTGGATCTTCGGGGATTCAAAACAGGCCTAAAACGGCTAGAATTAAAGCTTGAGATGTCCCGAGCATAATTGTACAATGCCTCGAACCCGAAAGACACCATATTGGACACCAAAAAACCCCAAGAAGCCCAAAACGTCACTTTGACAGCACTGTGCGCTGCTCGTTTATTTGATCGCCATAGATAAAGCGCTCGGTATAAAATTATGAAACTTTGATACAATCAATTCAACAGACTCACGAACATCCTCCAATTGGAATCACTCCAAAATTCATCTGTTTGATCACTTTTGGCTCCGGAGGAAGTCGAATATCCTACATTAAGAATATAAATCAAAGTATCAAAATTCTACTAAAATAACCAATAAATTAATACTAAGAATAAGGTAAAATATATAGTATAATATAGACTCATCAACGTGTTAAAGTAAAAATATGGGTTAGGGGTCTTAGGCAGTTAACTAGAGCAGTGTGTCAACCCCTTAGCATTCAAGTTTGAAACTCTTTTTTTTTTTTTTAATTTGAATAGTTTATATTCTTTGTTTGACAAGACAAAATATATTTTAAAGTACTCAATTTTATGGTTTTTAATTTGAATAGTTTATATTCTTTGTTTGACAAGACAAAATATATTTTAAAGTACTCAATTTTATGGGAAGAGGTAATCGAACTTGGGTGCAAATGGTTAGACCCTCCCAACTGATGATACAAAGCCAGAGATTTGGTCCAAAATTTGGGGTTTGGTTGGGTTCAAAAGCAATGGTACATGCGTATCAGATTAGGCATATTTACCAATCGACATCCATATTTGTTGATTTGAATTAAACATAACAAAACAACACTAATATTCCTCATAAAACATGATCATTTTTCTTTAAATTAAATAAGACATAGCACTTTCCTATAGCTTCATAGATTGTATGTAAATAATTCACTAAGCACAGAACAGGAATCCCTCTCAAGTTTTATTTCTCCTCTCAGTTTTCATGCCTCCACTTTTTCATTTCCGGCTTCAGCACGATAAGATTCCTTGCACCCATTCAACAATTCAGATAACCTCGCGGCCAAACTTTGCTTTGCTGCAGGAGAAACACCGTGCTTTCCAACGATCGACTCTAGAACTGCCTCGGAAAGTAGTTTGTTTTCTATCACCGTGTTTGCAGCTTCAGGTACAGATGCATCTCTAGAGAAGCTAATCTGTGGCGAAAGCAAGGGGGAAAGATGTCAAAATCCGATGTAAACTACAGAAGTAACCATCCAAAAGTAGGATTACTAACCGTTAGTGATCCTTTGGGAGATTGCGTGAAAAGAATGGAGGCGCCGGGTGGGAAGTTTTGATCTTTGAAGACCTCAAGGAACTTTTCAATGGCTTTGCCTTCTGCATCAGTGTAAATTCCGATTGACTTCCAAAAGGCAACGCAATTCTCCGAAACTTTGTCAGAGTATTGCTGGCCTGTGAGTGGCAGTATCGTTGTCACTTGAATGAATTTCTCAAACGGACCTACAAAAGGATAGCGAAGATCATAAACCGCGCTACAAAACTATAGTCATATCTTTAGTAACTGTTTCCTATGCCTCAAGTAATCACCATAACCAGAAGATAGCACTACATTTTGAGAGATTCATTCATTCTAATTGGCTGGTCAGGACTAAATTACCACCATAACCATGAGCATACATAAGTTTAAAAATGAGAGTATAACTCAAGAAATCTACGACATTTGTTGAATGTACAGATCTATATCGGCAACTGAGAGAAGGGCGGGCCACAGGGGATGAATAATGTAACAATATTCAACCAGTCGTTAAAACAGCGAAGAAATCCGTGTTACCTGTAACGATGTCCCTGAAGAACTCAACGGACTCCGTCAACTCCTCGGCCGTCTTACCCTTCCACTTAACGGCGAGCAGAGGCACGGCGTTTTCCTCCAAGTACACTCCGATCGCCGTGAACTTCACGAAGTTCCCCTGAATCTCCAGCCCCCTCACCCCTGCGCACGTTAGCAACCAAAATACCGTCAATCGGAACCAAAAGCAAGCAAAAAACATTCAAACAATCAGAATCGCAGATATAAGCGGCGGAGATGCAAAGTTTACAGACCTGCGCCTCCGAGGAACAGAGTGTTGGAGGAGCCCGGAGGTTTGACGGACGGTGGAAACGCAGTCGTCTCGACCTGGAGTCCGGCGAGCGATGGCGTTGGAGCCATTTGACAATTTTGTTGTTATTGTGTAGAGAGAGAGATGGGGTTTGCTTTCGGAAACGGTGGATTTAAATAGAGATGGAAAGTGGACGGGAGAGACCCGCTTCTCTGGGAATAGAGATGGAAAGTGGACGGGAGAGACCCGCTTCTCTGCCCTCCCACTTTTCATACACACTCATCGTTTCTGTTTTATGATCACGGTTAAGCTATATTAAAATTTTATATTAATCTTTTTATAAAAATAATAATAATATAAAAATTTAACCCAACTTAATACCTTAATTGTAATCGTATAAATAAAAAAAAGATAAGAATGTATAAAAAATAAAAGGACAGAGAGAGTCCAGGTCCGGACGGTAGAGGGTTTGATGAGTAAGAAGAGGCGGTTGCGTGGGAGCCTTAAAGACGTGCGGGCGGCTGGAGGTAAGTCTGGGAGGTGTCCACAAACTGATAGTCTGGTACCCAGAAATAGAGAGAGAGAGAGAGAGAGAGTAAAAGATTGTAAAGAACTTTTCTAAGGTAAAAAGATAGTGATTGGTCCATCTTGGGTGATGTGATCAATTAGTTTTAATTAATAGCTAAAATATCGATAATATTGAAAATATCAGTAATCTAAAAATACGGAAATTTTAATGGAAATATCGAAATATTATCGATATCGATAAAAATTGAATAAAAATCATGAAAATTGTAAGAAAACATTGTAAGTGTAGAAAATATGTAGTAATTAATTAAAGAAGTTTAAACATATCATAATCATTTATATATTGTATAACACATAAACCTTAGGTGAATTTAGAGTAAATAAATTTTTTATTTGTTGAAATTCCTTGATATTTTTTGCTAAATTTTAGAAACTGTGTGTTTACAAATATATTGAAGCAACTTTTTTTATTTAACAATTATTATTTATGAAATTTGAACTTATATATCTTCTTTTTTTCAAATAAAGTGAAATTTAAGTATAATTAGACCAAAATATTAAAACTTATTTAATTTTTGTTAAAATAAATAATAAATAATAAGGCAAATAAATATTAAAAACAAAAAACATTTAAGACAATAGTTGCCAGGAGATACCGGCAATCCTTTATTACGCGCGTTCCACTTCAGTACATACATCGCCACACACAGAGGAATTAGATCCGCTTCGGACCTTAGTGTGTTGAGCTTAAGGATCAAATTATCTAGACCGTTGATTAGTGTGTAAAAGAAATCGGAACTGTTGATTTTGTATGATATCAGGAAAATGAGTTAATAAGGATCTTGAGATTGAATTTATATGGTCCAGATGAATTGATATCTAGGCTCCGAACACTAAGATCCGAATCGGATCCAATTCCACATAGAAGCACACGCGTTTTGTCTCCTTTCCTAAATCAGCCCTAATTCCAATCTAATCCAATCCGCACACGAACCTCAAACCTTAATTCCCAAAATTTGTCCTCTAATTCTTGCCAAAGCCCTCAATTTCTCCCTTTTCCAATCCCACCATCTCCTCGTCCCAAACCCCAACCCTAATCCAGAAGCAGAATGCTTCTTACTCCGGGTCATTATCCTCGCCACCTCTCATCCCCTTCGCCCTCTGCAAATTCCGATGCTTCCATCCAAAACCCTACGAATTCCACCCAAATCACGCCCAAGAACCCTAAAAGCCATCCACAGGTCCTCGACAAGGACACCTATGTTGCGCCGATCGAGAAGATCATCGAAATTGACTTCTTTCACGATATTTCCAAGCTTCGAGACCGCCTCGACTAGCTCGAAGCGATTAACACCCACGACTCAGTTCAGATCCGAGATGCCCAGTTGAAGATCATCGAGCGCCGCGGAAAGAATGTAACTCATAATCCTGACCCTAATGGTAGAATCCCTGTGTTTCCCCCTTCCCCACTCATTCGAACTTTCTCCCTCATTCATCTTCTTGTTTCTTCTCCCTCTATCTCTGTAACTCTCCTTCCCGGAGCACAAGCACAACACACCCACACCCCACCGTGACCTCCACCACAGTGGCACACACTCCGGTGAACACCATTACCACCTATGGACCATTCCTCCTCCCTTTCTCAACTCCCAGCGAGCACCATTAGGCAAGAGGAGGCCTTGTTTGTTTTGGGATCCGGAGAAAAGGGATTGCTCATTTTGATGGGTTTGAGCGTGGATTGCAGAGAGAGGCACTGATCTTGGCAACTACGACGATGGAGCCTCAACTGCAATTTTGCGACGACGGAGCCTCGGCGATATTATCGATAATATCGCGATATATTGATGATAATTAAGTGGATAAGTGTGAAAATATCGCCCTTTCAAAAAAACGATATTATTGGCGATATTTCGCCGATAATATCGATATTTTAGACCTTGGTTTTAATTATGAAAACAATGATTTAATTTTGCGGTCCTCAAAGGGCAAAGAAGAAGAAACCAACTTTTCTAGGATCAAAGGGTAGACAGCTACTTCTTAAAGGGTCATCAAATGGTTTTAATTATGAAAACCACCCACTTGCATGGGGCTTTTTATATTTTTAAAGTTTGGGATGTATAGTATATGCATATAATTTTTTTTTTTGATAGAAAAAGAAAATATTATAGCGAAAAATCTCTTACACAGCTAGTACTAATACAGTCAAATTGAAAAGTTAGGTGAGCATCCACAGGGTGACAAGCATCCTAAATACAAAGATTCGAACAATTAAGACCAATAGACGCCAAAGCATCCCAAATACATAAAAAATTCACATATGTATGTTCTTCTATAAGAAATAACATATTATTCAATAATTATTTACACATGATCAATGGTGGATCCAGGATTTTAACATAGGGTGGTCCTAATATACAAGTTCTAGAAGAAAAAAAATCCGACTAATAAAATTTGCTCAAAATCTGCATAGGCTCAAAACAGCCACATTTCCGGATCTTCAGTGCTCCAAAACAGGCCCAAAATGGCTAGAATTAAAGCTTGAGATGTCCCGAAGATAATTGTATAGGGCCTCGAACCCAAAAGACACCATATTGGCTACCAAAAAACCCAAAACGTCACTTTGACAACACTGCACGTTGCCCATTTATTTGATCACCATAAATAAACCGCTTAGTATAAAATTATGAAACTTTGATACGATCAATTCAACAGACTCACAAACATCCTCCAATTGGAATCACTCCAAAATTCATTTGTTTGATCACTTTTTGCCTCAGAGGAAGTCGAATGTCCTACATTAAGATCAAATTATCAAAATTCTACCAAAATAACCAATAAATTAATACTAAGAATAGGGTAAAATATATAGTATATTATAGACTCATCAACGTGTTAGAGTAAAAATATGGGTTAGGGGCCTTAGGCAGTTAACTAGAGCAGTGTGTCAGCCCCTTAGCATTCAAGTTTGAAACTCTTTCTTCTTAAATTTGAGTAGTTTATATTTTTTTGTTTGACAAGAAGAAATATATTCTAAAGTACTCGATTTTATGGGAAAAGGGAATCGAACTTGGATGCAAATAGTTAGACCCTCCCAACTGGTTGACACAAAGACAGATTTGGTCCCAAATTTGGGGTTTGGCTGGGTTCGAAAGCAATGTTACAGGCATATCAGATTAGGTATATTTACCAATCGACATCTATATTTGTTGATTTGAATTAAACATATAACAATACAACACTAATATTTCTCATAAAACATGATCATTTTTCTTTAAATTAAATACGACATAGCACTTTCCTATAGCTTCATAGATTGTATGTAAATAATTCACTAAACACAGAATAGGAATCCCTCTCAAGTTTTATTTCTCCTCTCTCAGTTTTCATGCCTCCACTTTTTCATTTCCGGCTTCAGCACCATTAGATTCCTTGCACCCATTCAACAATTCGGATAACCTCGCGGCCAAACTTTGCTTTGCTGCAGGAGAAACACCGTGCTTTCCAACGATCGACTCTAGAACTGCCTCGGAAAGTAGTTTGTTTTCTATCACCGCATTTGCAGCTTCAGCTACGGATGCATTTCTAGAGAAGCTAATCTGTGGCGAAAGCGAGAGAGAAAGTTGTCAAAAATCCGATGTAAACTACAGAAGTAACCATCCAAAAGTAGGATTACTAAAGTAGGATTACTAACCGTTAGTGATCCTTTGGGAGATTGTGTGAAAAGAATGGAAGCACCGGGTGGGAAATTTTGATCTTTGAAGACCTCAAGGAACTTTTCAATGGCTTTGCCTTCTGCATCAGTGTAAATTCCGACTGACTTCCAAAAGACAACGCAATTCTCCGAAACTTTGTCAGAGTATTGCTGGCCTGTCAGTGGCAATATCGTTGTCACTTGAATGAATTTCTCAAACGGACCTACAAAAGGATAGCGAATATCATAAATCACGCTACAAAACCCAAGTCATATCTTTAGTAACTGTTTCTTATGCCTCAAGTAATCATCATAACCAGAACATAGCACTATATCTTGAGAGATTCATTCATTCTAATTGGCTAGTCAGGACTAAATTACCACCATAAGCACACATAAATGTACAAACTTAGAATACAACTTGAAAAATTTACAACATTCATCGACCACGACAGATCTATATCGGCCTCTGAGAGAACGGTGGGCAGTAGGATTGCCTCAGTTTGCCATGACTACCAATCATTCTAAAACGGCTCCACCTTAAGATGCAGGGCATGAGCAATATCTACACTTTCAACAGCATCAACAAGAGCTCAAATCAATTTACCAAAAGATACAGAAGGCATCCATTTGAAGATTAATATGATTATAGTTTGAATCTGACCGTGCAACCGGACTATGATAAATAGAAGGGAAGATATATATGAAACCAACTTATCTTTAACAAGTCATCCACTTGTGTGAACCTTTTTTAATGTGAAAATGTACTTATGAAAAGGTACGGATAAAGGGTCAAACATATATAAGTTAAATAAAATTGTTAAATAAAGAGTCGAAAATATGTATTCATAGGTCGAACATCAATGAATTTTGCTCCAAAAGAAGTCAAAAGTTAACTTAAACTCTAAATTTGACTTATTTCATCTCTAATACACTGAAAAAAATTAGTTATATATATGAATAATTTTTCGTTCTATCTGGTAAATTTAGCTAAAATTGGTTTCACCATAGCATGCAATTTTATTCCTTTGCTAATTATAACACGACAAAGTAACAAATTTGCATTGGTAACTGGAATTTACTGTCAAAATTCAAACGGTTGTTAAAACAGCAAAGAAATCCCCGGTACCTGTAACGATGTCCCTGAAGAACTCAACGGACTCCATCAACTCCTCGGCTGTCTTACCCTTCCACTTAACGGCGAGCTGAGGCACGGCGTTATCCTCCAAGTACACTCCGATTGCCGTGAACTTCACGAAGTTCCCCTGAATCTCCAGCCCCCTCACCCCTGCGCATGTTAGGAAGCAAAGTACCGTCAATCAAAACCAAAAGCAACAAACAATCATAATTACGGATATAAGCGCCGGACATGCAAAGTTTACAAACCTGCGCCGCCGAGGAACAGAGTGTTGGAGGAGCCCGGAGGTTTGACGGACGGTGGAAACGCAGTCGTTTCGACCTGAAGTCCGGCGAGCGACGGTGGTGGAGCTATTTGACAATCTTTCTCATTTCCGGCTTTGGCATCTTTAGATTCATTACACCCGTTCAACAATTTGGATAACCTTTCGGCCAAACTTTGCTTTGCTGCAGGGGAAACACCGTGCTTTCCAACGATCGACTCTAGAACTGCCTCGGAAAGTAGTTTGTTTTCTATCACCGTGTTTGCAGCTTCAGGTACGGATGCATCTCTAGAGAAGCTAATCTGTGGCGAAAGCAAGGGGGAAAGATGTCAAAATCCGATGTAAACTACAGACGTAACCATCCAAAAGTAGGATTACTAACCGTTAGTGATCCTTTGGGAGATTGCGTGAAAAGAATGGAGGCGCCGGGTGGGAAGTTTTGATCTTTGAAGACCTCAAGGAACTTTTCAATGGCTTTGCCTTCTGCATCAGTGTAAATTCCGATTGACTTCCAAAAGGCAACGCAATTCTCCGAAACTTTGTCAGAGTATTGCTGGCCCTGTCAGTGGGCAGTATGTTGTCACTTGAATGAATTTCTCAAAGGACCTACAAAAAGGATAGCGAAGATCATAAACGCGCTACAAAACTATAGTCATATCTTTAGTAACTAACTGTTTCCTATGCCTCAAGTAATCACCATAACCAGAAGATAGCACTACATTTTGAGAGATTCATTCATTCTAATTGGCTGGTCAGGACTAAATTACCACCATAACCATGAGCATACATAAATTTAAAAATGAGAGTATAACTCAAGAAATCTACGACATTTGTTGAATGTACAGATCTATATCGGCAACTGAGAGAAGGGCGGGCTATAGGATTGCCTAGGTTTGGCATGACTACCGAGCAATCTAAAACGGCTCCGCCCTAAGATGCAGGGCATGAATAAAGGTCGAACCCAGTGCACAAGGCTCCCGCTTTGCGCAGGGTCTGGGAGAGGTGAATGTCGGCTAGTCTTACCCCCATTTATGGAGAGGCTGCTCCCAAATCTCGAACCCGAGACCTACCGCTCATGGGCATCGCACAAGTGCGACCTCTATGCAGGGCATGAATAATGTAACAAAATTCAACCAGTCGTTAAAACAGCGAAGAAATCCGTGTTACCTGTAACAATGTCCCTGAAGAACTCAACGGACTCCGTCAACTCCTCGGCCGTCTTACCCTTCCACTTAACGGCGAGCAGAGGCACGGCGTTTTCCTCCAAGTACACTCCGATCGCCGTGAACTTCACGAAGTTCCCCTGAATCTCCAGCCCCCTCACCCCTGCGCACGTTAGCAACCAAAATACCGTCAAGCGGAAGCAAAAGCAAGCAACAAACATTCAAACAATCAGAATCGCGGATATAAGCGCCGGAGATGCGAAGTTACAAACCTGCGCCGCCGAGGAACAGAGTGTTGGGGGAGCCCGGAGGTTTGACGGACGGTGGAAACGCAGTCGTCTCGACCTGGAGTCCGGCGAGCGATGGCGTTGGAGCCATTTGACAATTTTGTTGTTATTGTGTAGAGAGAGAGATGGGGTTTGCTTTCGGAAACGGTGGGTTTAAATAGAGATGGAAAGTGGTGGGTCCATTGAGTGACGGGAGAGGGTTTGATGAGTAAGATGCGGCGGTTGCGTGGGAGCCTTAAAGACGTGCGGGCGGCTTGGGGGAAGCGTCAACAAACTCATATTCTGGAACTTACTACCCCAGAGAGAGAGAGAGAGAGAGAGAGAGAGAGAGAGAGAATTTAAGGTTAAAGGGCAAAGAAGAAGAGACCCACTTCTCTTATGTCAAAAGCTGGTAATGGGTACATCTCGGGGACGTGAAAGAGGTAACGTGGACAGCTACTACTTAAAGGGTCATCAAATGTTTTTAATTGTGAAAACAATGATTTAATTTTGTGGTTAATGAAAGTGCAAAAAAGAAGAAACGAACTTTTCTAGGATAAAAAGGTGATTATGGGTCCATCTTGGGGGACGTGAAAGACGTAAAGGTAGACAGCCACTTCTTGAAGGGTCATCAAATGATTTTAATTATGAAAACAACATACTTATATGAATTTTTTATATTTTTAAAAGTTTGGGATGTATATTATATGTATGTAAAGGTTATATAAATTATAAATTATTTAGATAATATTTGTTTTTTTATCCTAAGCAAGCATATTTTATATATATATATATATATTTTTTTTGATAGAAAATGAAAATATTATAGCGAAAAACTTCTTGCACAACTAGTACTAATACGGTCAAATTGAAAAGTCAGGTGAGCATCCACATGGAGTCAAGCATCCCAAATACAAACATTCGAACTATTAAGATCAATAGACGCCAAAGCATCCCAAGTACATAAAACATTCACATATGTATGTTCTTCTATAAGAAATAACATATTATTCAATAATTATTTACACATGATCAGTGGCAGATCCAGGATTTTAATATAGGATGATCCTAATATACAAGTTCCAGAAAAAAAAAAAACAAAAAAAACATTGAAAAATAAATGGCAAACTACAACTTCGACAAAAAATATGTATGAACTAACATTGTAACACAATCTTCAACAAAAAAAAAAAGCATTGTAACACAATTCAAGTAATATCAGACAATCGTAACGAATGAACAATAAATATGTATGAACTAACACTAAAATAGATATGAAAAAATTCCTAAGAAATTAACAATGAATAGGCTGAACTTAGTTTAAAACCCATTAGTGTGTGATTGTTTGGCTTGTTATCAAAAACCCTTGCCAAAAACCATTATCAAAGACCTTTACATATATGTATTCACTGTTCAGCCTAAAAAACTAAAACTAAAAATCCTAATAAATTAACAATAAATATTTATGAACTAACACTAAAAATAAGTATGAACTAACACTTAACTAGAAAACTTACAAATATTCTGAAAGTGCTGTTAATGGCCTTCGCTGGCTTGGGTGTCATGAGAAATAATAGGCAATGAAGTATATTATATTTGATAAAATTGAATTTGATTGAAAGTAGACTAATGAAAAGTCATGGGCTTTTATTAAATTTCTAATTGTTTGCCTTTTTAATAAAGATGGTGAGTGCTATCACGTGAAGGCTCTCATGTGGGTTTTAAATGTTTTTTTAATGACTTGGAGAATTTTTTCAAGCAACGGGAACACTCACCTCATCATTAGTTCCCGACAAATAAAAACAGTCATGTGTTTCTCTATTTTTTTAACTAAAGTTTTTCAGCTGTCAGCTCTTGGCTTTTTATTTATGATTAAAACAATAAGTCAACAACTTTAGCTCTGTCTGGCATTAAACTTTCATTTTTCATATCTGTAAATTTGTAAATCTGCCCAGAATTATTTTCTACTAAAATTCAGTTATGCTAGTATTCATTACAAGAAACAAATTTGATCTTCGGTTCTTTGAGATTGAACAAATTAATTCCTAAATCTAATCCGCCGACGACACCCATCATTCTCAACCTGAACGATTCTTTCGAAGTTCGTGCAAAGGGATTTTCCCTTTTTCAAACGAAAAAGAAGAAGACGAATCGAAAACTTACAACGGGAATGAATTTCAATCTTCATCCTTCTCTTGATCTTTCGACGAGAAAAAGGAAAAGAGGAATTCAGAAATAAAACAAATATGAACATTTTATTTTTATTTTTGTTTTTATTTTTGAGTCGATGTAGGGAGGAGGGGCCAGTGCAGTACAGCGCCATAAGTATTTTCGATGTGAATGTTGAATTGTACGATCACCACGGAAAGGGCATATAGGTTTAGTTCTTCTAGTTACAAGCGTACGGTATATCTTTGTCTGCATGCTGAATTCTTTGTGTAGCCATGGATTTCAAACCAAACTCAAAGTTATTGTACTTCTAAAACAGGATTCCTTGGGTATGTTTCTTGCATATATGTACCTGCAAACTCAAAAACATGAAATCAACTCTTAAAACTAAAGCATTGTTCCAATCAACTTTAGAGAAATATTTTAGTTTGTTTCAAACTTTTATGATATTGCATAGTTTTGTACTCATTGACAATTATTACTATGTAGATACGTGTTTTGCTAAAGAGCAACTTCATCCCAATTTTTTAGGCTGGCCTAAAGTCCAAAAAAGAGGGCGGCCCAAAACGTGTTATGTGACGTCACATAGGCCTACTGATTTTTTTTGCGTTAGGCGCGTGGGATACACACGCGAGTGAGTGCGCATTGACAATAGGAAAAGCACGACGAGGCCCGCCGTATCAACGCACTAACTTGTATCGGGGAGAAGCCACATGGCTCGTTTTGGGCTGTTGGATTTCTAAAGGCTAGTTTTTTGGACAGTTGAATTTCGAACGGTCAAAAAAATTTCAAATTCAAACCCAACGGCTAGTGATGTGGCACGTTATGGGCCGTCCGATCCCAAGATCAACGGTCCATGATCTTCGTCCAAAAAACAAAAAAAATACAAAATGGTTAGAATTATGACCATTGGCCACGTGTCCACATTTGGGTTATTGGATTTGAATCTTTTTCAAATCCAACGGTTCAGATTAATTAACTTAATAAAAATTATTAAAAAATTATTAAAAATTGTTTAAAATTACAGAAAAAATTAAAAAAAAAGTTTATTAATTCTTTCTATAAATACCTAACCATCATCTTCCACCTTACACCACATTTCAATATTTTCAACACTTTCAACCAAAACTTTCATATACTTTTTTTTGTGAAAAAATGGCCCCGTGGAAGCTCATTGAAGATGTTACGTTGTGTCAATGTTGGGTTCAAATTACTCATGACCCGTTTACGGGTAATGAGATGCAGTTACGAGAACTGTGGAGCAGAATTACGGAAGCGTTTTGAGATAGGCTTGGAGATCGCACAAGAAGTAGTCAAGATCTTCAAGGTCGTTGGAAAAAACTCAACATATCATTTACTTGTTGGAAAAACGCTATTTCTCATGCTTCCACTAATCTGAGTAGTCGAAGAAGTTTAGCGGATCAGGTAACAATATTTTTATTTATTTATATATATTCCACCCGCATCAATATTTTAATTTATTTATTTGTGTTACACCCGCATTGCGCCACATTTGAAGAGTGGGAAGGGACGTCTAAAGAAGTGTCGAAGACCCAGCCGACTCATCGGTCCCTAAGACCTCAAGGTAAAAAGGCGGAAATAAAAAAAGGGAGTTCTTCCAAAAATGACTACACAAAATGTATGGACGAACTTGCTCGCCAAGGTGAACTGAACATGGCACGGGAAACGGCTAGAGATGAGGCAAAAGCTGCGACTATGGAAGCAATCTTAGCAGCTATTGAGAAACGTGATGCGGCTAATGAGAGACAAAGAGAAGTACATAATCGAGAAGGCCAGATGCTTAGAGAAGAAAGGATGACTTAAGTAGATCGTGACACTATAAACAAGCTTCTAGTAGGAATGTCTCTGAATTCTAAATATTTTTGGACATCGGAAAAAAGAGACATGGTGCAAAGGAGGCATGCAAGAGACGAGGAAACAAGTCGAGGGGGTTCTAACTACACAGATCTTACCAACAAAGATCCAAGCACCACATATCCTAGCTCCTTTTCCAATACAAAATTTTGACCCTGTTTCCCCTAAATCAATAAACATTTGTTAATATATCACCAAATTGTTTAATTTATGTGAATTGGGGACACCTTACATGCCTACATTTCCCCCCAAAATTTGATAAATTAAATACCTTTGCTTATTCATATTCTCAAAATATTATCAGAGAAACTAAAGAGCTCAAGCAAGTAAGCCATTGTTAACAGTTGCACATCCTACTAAACTAAGAAATATAAGGGGAACATCTACCAAAGGCATCCTACACGACAATTCTAAATATAAGAAAACATGCAACCAGCATGTATCCAAGAGGATCATGGCTCTCTGTGGTCATGATGGAGAAATGCTTAAGCTTAGACAGCACATGCATTATAAATTTATAAACTAAGCTAAACAACCATTTAGAAGTCCATGAATAATGTACTTGGACGCCCCATCACTATCTATTGCATCTGTTAATAATTTATTACCTAAAAGGAAAGACACTTTCATCTCCTATTGAAACAGCCTGTATAATCTATTAATAATTTATTACCCCACAATACTTTCCCAACCAATTTATATCTTAGGCCATCTTCAACCGATGGCTGGTCAAATGGCTCGTTTTAGCCTTCTGGCCCTCAAAGATTCTCCAAGATATTAATATTTTAATAAACAGTACAAGGCAATATTTGCCTCCGTCTCCAACCGAGGGCCAGAGGGCCATAGGGCTCGTTTTAGCCATTTCACAAAAAACCATTTCCAACCGAAGGCCAAAGGGCCATAGGGCCAAACATAGTTTATTATTTAAAAACAAATTTTGTGAAATAGAAGTTATAGGAAAAAAAATGGAATTTAAAAAAAATATATGAAACAAATTTTGTGAAATAGAAGTTATAGGGAAAAAATGGAATTTAAAAAAAATATGAAATAAATTTTGTGAAATAGAAGTTATAGGAAAAAATAGAAGTTATATGAAAAATTTTGTAAATAAAAAATAATAATAAAACTGTAAAAAAAAAAAAAAAATGCAACGGCTACTAGCCGTTGCATTTGAATTTTTTCTTAAGAAATCTTGTCGGTTATAATCGACAGAAATAACAAAACATTAAAAAAAAATAGCCAGCCCTCCAGCCCTCTCCGATTTCGTGGGGCCCTCTCAGATTCCAGAGTCC